AGTCTCAAAACTTTTTGAGCTATTGGTGCTAGATTATTTAAAACACACATGCTCTAGTTACATCGCGACTGAACAACACGGATTTATGCCGAAGAGATCGACCGCTACAAATCTCATCAATTATACGCGAGATGGAAAGAGGTCATCAAGTGGATGCTATCTATACCGATCTTTCTGCTTTCTTCTTTCCTTTATTTAACGTCGGTCTCTGTTCCGCAATCTAGTGCCAATCACCGACGTACATCGATTGCCATCCATTGACGGCAATCGAATGTGCAGGAAGGCAGCTTCCACACCTGCGTAGGATATCGCACCCATTCAACACACATGGGCCGGGACCAACGGCTTTACTTCCCTTCCGAAGGAAGACGTGACCAGAGATTTTTATGCCTCAGAAAAATCTCACCGACCTCGGCTGGGATTGAACCCAGACCCATCGGGGTGTTAGAAAGCAGTCACGCTTACCACTACACCACCGGCGCCGGCCGATCTTTCTGCTGTTTTTGATCAAATCAATCACGAGATTGCAGTGGCCAAAGTAGAGAGACTTGGTTTTCACGGTTCCCTTCTTGATTGCCTTCGCTCATATCTCACCGGTCGACATATGTCAGTGAAGATTGGAGGTCATTTTTCTCAACCGTTCGCAAATATTAAGCCGTAAATCCACCATTAAAGACTTAGGCGTCCTACTTGATTCACAACTCACCTCCAAGGACCATGTGGCTTATGTTTCCGCTAAGGCATCTTCTCAACTTGGTTTCATTTTTCGTTTCGCCAAAGACTTTAGGGACATTTTCTGTTTAAAAACACTCTAGTGTTCGTTGATGTCCCTACAACTACTTAGTGTTCGCCGAGACATCGCTAAGACTCATCACTGATCTCCTACGATCGGATATTCCGGCTTCTCGCACAAACTACGTCACTAATGAGCCGTTAACTAGCATGTGCAAGATTTTCAACAAATGTAATAATTGCTATGATTTTAATATCTCCCGTGTAAGGCTTAATAATCTGTTTTATAATGTACTTTTTACTTCCTGACGGTTTCTGTTTTCTGTATTTAAATTAAGTTAATTATGTTTTCATTAATATCTTTTTATATGATTAGGACTTAGTTCAAGCAAATGTATCCGTAGGATTCCATGTTATCTGTTGGTACTGAAATGATGAGGTTTTGCGCAGACTAGTATGGGCTTTTCCCTCCAAATAAATAAATAAAAAAATAAAGAAAAAAAAATCAGAAACTTTGTTCAAGACGTCAACTTACCTGGATGCAATCCCAGAGCGTTATTATTAATTTCCAGCTAGATTTCATTTTTGACCCACTGTGCATTGAGTTGAGTATTGGTGGAAAGTACGCAAAGGTTCGAGGGAGGTCTTAAGCATTAGAGGCAATCAATTTAGTACGTCATGCTCTAAAAGAGGAGGTGTGGTGTTAGAAATCTGTGACAAGCAATGCTTATCAAAAACGTGACGGAAGTGGGAGGGATAGAAATTTTTTCCTCAATTTTGAGTGACGTGTGGACATCAGTTTTTCGAGAGTGTTTGCTTCCAGAGCGTATCTTATTGTGGATGGAAATTCCTGATTGAACTAACGAAAATCAATCAAGCAAAAATTTGATTGCGAAGAAGATTCATCACTTCAAAGATCATTCTCTCATATATTCTATCGCCGCCCCCGGGTCGAAAGTCTCAATGCATCAATCCAAACACAGCTCAAGAACCATATCCCCAAGGCTTCAAAATTAGCCATTTGCTATTTTCCAACTTGTCAAACAAATACCAGATGCCGAGCTTTCCCGAGCGAGAAACAACAATATCGCTTTTCTTGGCCAATATTGCTAGTTTGTCTTTTCCCGATACAAGTGCCTAACCCCCCCCCCCCTTCCAACCAGAAATCCACCCAAACATCGTACCTCAATCCCGAAAGCCAATATTGACGATGTTATTCTTTTCTCTTGTGAACGAAAAAAAGCCACCATATCCCTCCAAGACTTGTCGCACACCTCCGACTACGAACTGAACTGACTTTAATCCCTACAAACCCTTAAGTTGTGATATGGATACAACCGAAAACCTACAATGTCGATATTGAGTTGGTTTCATATTTCCAGAACCGGCGATAAAGCCAAAAAAGCCGCTTTCTAACAGACATTCTTTCCGATATATATATGTATATATATTCGTTCGGAATGGAGCGGGGGAGGTCGGTTGGGGATGATCCCCAAAAGTGATGCCACGTGCGTTGTCTTCTTCTTCGCCTCCACCTATTGGAAAAAACGACGGGCAGTGAAGTGATTCATGATTCTCCTCTTGCCTTCTTGGGCTTGAGTTTCTTCTCGGTCAAAAGGAGCACTCGACTGGGAAAAAATCGTCCTTCCGCTATTCGGTTGGATGGATCAGCGACTGGCACAGAAGAAGCCAGTATCACTGGCAACCGGGCGTTTTGCAAACTAGGAGAATGATATACTGGAATCGTTCGTGTCTCCACGTGTGAGACCTGTGGTCTGATATTTGGCTGCTATCTCTTAACGAGGCACTAAGAAGAGTTGATAAATTGTTGTAACAAGTGATGGAAATTCATTAAAAATTTCTTCGATAGTTACGAACATACGAAAAGAAACCGTTTTTCTCGCAATCCAACACTTCAAAAAGCCTTGCAACGGGAGCTTCTATCATGCTAAATCCGCTAAGAATCAAGGAAATTCTGACAATGCACAGTGGTCCAGAATGCAGATTTAGGTGGAATGATATGTTTTGAGCATGAAATTGAAACTTTAGACTAAAAGTCTCTTCTACAAAGTTGTTCCTTATAGTTAGGTCCTCATTTTTATGACAATGAATTCTAGGGTGGTTCCTATTATCATTAAAATCAAAAATCTAACTTTTTTGTTTGAATAAATTAAGGTATACATTCTTCGGCAAAGTTATAGCTGAGCTAATTTCAAGCAACTTTATTGAAGATAACTTTTTTGTATCTCTTAAATTGGCCGATTTAGAGCTATTTTCTTGAATTGAGTTAGGGTGGCTCTTGAAAAAACAGTTTTTTTGCTTTAGTTTTCTTGTTTCAAATTTCTCAGCAAAGGTGTCTTCAGATAACTTTTAGATCTTAAGAAGGCGCAAGTTTGAAATTTCTCATGAAAGTTATCTTCTAGAGAATTTTAAAACTCTTTTAGACGAATGTTTTATACATGAATTTGTTGCCTGTATCTCTTCTAATAAAAAAGATATACCCAAATATAGTAAAAAATATGACTACATTCAAATTGATTTTATACGAGTTTAAAAAATAACATACCTCCAATTAATATTGAGAATTACATACGCCCTTTCAAATGCCGTAAAAAAACTTTTTTTTTTGTTTGCCCCAACCAGAGATATTAACATTTAAAAAGTGCATATTTTTAGCATAAAAACGTCAATAACTCTTGATCGGCGAAAGATATTGACAAGCTTTGTGTAGCAAAAACTTTCACCTTCTTAAGATCTAAAAGTTATCTGAAGACACCTTTGCTGAGAAATTTGAAATAAGAAAACTAGAGCAAAAAAAACTATTTTTTTCAAGAGCCACCCTAACTCAATTCAAGAAAATAGCTCTAAATCGGCCAATTTAAGAGATACAAAAAAGTTATCTTCAATAAAGTTGCTTGAAATTAGCTCAGCTATAACTTTGCCGAAGAATGTATACCTTAATTTATTCAAACAAAAAAGTTAGATTTTTGATTTTAATGATAATAGGAACCACCCTAGAATTCATTGTCATAAAAATGAGGGCCTAACTATAAGGAACAACTTTGTATAAGAGACTTTTAGTCTAAAGTTTCAGTTTCAGGCTCAAAATATATCATTCCACCTAAATCTGCATTCTGGACCACTGTGCAATGCAACGAAAATATGAAAGCTTCTTCCACTCAATTCGACATATTCGTTCCCAACAACTCTCGTCAGCGAAGAGGGTTTAATACGACGTGACTTTTACCAGCAGCCCAGGGGCTTTTGATAGCTCAAATTGTTCTATAGGAAAACGATCGCTCCAAGGCGTGTGTTCGTTCGGTTTGATTCGATGAATTTTACGATTCTGTAACAAAGATAATATTGCTGCTGAAATTGACTACAATATGGGGATTTACGATCATTTTACTATGTCATTTTGTTTATCAAGAGTCTTTAGGCATCAGGCGCCACCAGAGAGGGAGGAACTTGCACTGTTTACTGTTTTCGATTTAGTGATTTAATTACTTTGGAATCAAAGTATTAGCATTTCGTTTATGTGTGGGAACCGATATACTGGGGAAATGGAATGGTAAATGGTTCTGTTGGATGCTTCGCCAATACACTGTGGTCCGAAACAGCAATTTAACTGGGAAAAATCATTAACTCAGTTTCTGTTCATTTCAGGGTGTTGGCGTCTTCATAGAAGTTGTTTATAAATAATTTCCTTCTTTTTATGAAAAGGTTGATTAGGGTGGACCTCATTTAAATTTAAATCATGAAATTAATTTGTTTGTTTTATGTTATAGATAAAAAAATATTTTTTAAACAACTTTGATGAAGAAATCATCTTGACCATCCTAGAGCAATTTTGCTGCTTTTATTTAGTGTCTCACTAACAAAATATTTTTTATTCCATCTTTTCTCTATTAAATGTTTTGAAATTAAATTAAGAGTTATATGGTGACTTCAGCAAAGTTGCTTAAAATATTTGTTTCTACATCTTTGCTGAAGAATATAACCTCCTATAACTTAAAACAAAAATGTTTGATTCATGATTTCTATATAAATGAGGACCACCCTAATCAACATTTTCATAAAATGAAGGACTATTTAATTATAAACAACTTCTACGAAGACGCTAACCCCCTAAAATGAACAGAAACGGAGTCAATATTTCTTTTCTCCGTTATGTCGTTTCGGACCACCGTGCAATGATAGGAAAAATGTCATGACGGCATATATAAGATTGTATCGATTAAAACGGTCAAATAACAAGAAAAACTTACCTAATGATTGGCGGTCGTCTGAAATAGTAAAAAAAAAAATTGTCAGTTATTTTTATATATTTATATTTCCAGTTAGGGGAAATGGCGCTAATGTTGGCCTATGGATCTAATATTTGACCCATCGCATAAAATCTGCTATTTATCAATTTTATCTAGATGAACGCGTCCCAATGGTACTAATGGATATTTTGGTCGCTATTGAAAATTTAGTCGAATGCTGAATTTATGTATGGGCCCAAATTAGGGGAATTTAGGCCGACATTACATCCATTTCCCCTAACATACATTTATGAAACAAAACTATATATTTCTTCCTGTACTATAGGATAGAAATCAATTGCATGGATAAAAGTATAAACGTTGTAAAAATAAATAAATTTAACAAGAAATCACATCGAAAACAATAATCTGATACTTTAACTATTCATGTTTGTATTACTTCATGCGTGAAGTTAACGATTTACATAGTTGGTGATGCTTAACGTCAATATCAATATCTGAAAGTGAACATTTTTTACAATAGATGAGGAGATGAAAGCAGGCCCCAACAAAGTCACTTTCAATCGAAAATCGTTAAGCCAACCATCACTTTCAATTGAAATTCTCTTCGAGCAGATATCCTGCAACATCAACAGAACCACTTTCGATCAGTTTGTTTTGGCTTGACTCGTGTTTATTTCGGCTTTCATTGTCAAATGAACTTACTTTCGCATTGAGGCGAAGCTGTTCGGTTCATTTAAGCGCACTCACATAGATCTGTGCACGTGGATGTCAAATTTATCATTGTCGGGTTAGTTTGTTTTAGCTTCCATTCGTTTTTATCTTCTGCCGTCACTTTTACTCTGGTGTGAAATGGAAGGGACAGCAGGAAAACAATATGTGAGGTTCGGGACCATGCACTGATGAAAATTTATATGTGATGTTATTTTGAATTCCAAGATGACGGCTTCCGGTTTAAGAAAAAGTGGGAAATACTGTCAAATATCCATCAATAGGGTATTTTTTGTAATCGGAATGACATCTAGAGGCCGGAAATCGATGACTGCCACCATTTTTAAATCCAAGATGTCGGCTTAGGATTTCATAAAAAGTGCTAAATACTGTAAAAACCCATCATTAGGGTATTTTTGGAATCGGGATGCCGTCTTGAGAATGAAAATCGATATTCACCGCCATTTTGCAATAAAAAATGGTGGATTTTGGTTTAATAAAAAGTGGGAAATCTGTCAAATTCCCATCAATACTTTTTTTAATCGGGGTAATGTCGAGAAGCTGAAAATCGATATCCGACGCCATTTTGAAATCTAAGACGACGATTTCCAATTTCAGAAAAAGAGTCAAATACCAAATATTGGTATTTTCCGAACGGGGATGACACGTAGATGCCAAAAATCGATGTCAGACACCATTTTGAAATCCAAGATGACGGCTTCTGGCTTCAGAAACAGTGGGAAATACTGTCAAATACCCATAAATATTAATATTTTCAAAATCCCAGTAACGTCTAGAGGCCGGAAATCGTTGTCCGACGCCATATTGAAATTCAAGATGGTGGTTTCCGATATCAGATGAAGTGACAAATATCCTACAAATGGCGTTGAATATCGATTTTCAACATGTACGCGTCGTTCCCGTTCCGAAAATACCCAGATCTCAGGGTATTTGACACTTATCTTAATCCCGATGGCCGCCATATTCAATTCCAAAATGGCGTCGGATACCGATTTTCGGCCTCTAGATGTCACTTGATCCTGTAACAATCGATAGAACCGTTTCCGCACATCGGAAGTACAAGAGCGAATCGGCGATCGTTCTTTTAAAGGGTGTCCACGATGAAATTGCCACACTATGAAATTGCTCTAACTTTTTAACCGTTGGCTAGAATTTAATGAAAATTTGGGTGGATTTAGTTCATAGTGCATTATTTACATCCTGCAAGTTTTAAAGTCCTGTGATCAAAACTCGCGGAAATGGAATCTTGCGCATTCATCACGAGAACAAGGATCTCTCGCATCGTTCCATCGCTAAAACGTTGGAAATCGCGAATTCCACGGTGTCGCGAGTGATTAAGCGGTTCGAGGAACGGTTGACCACCGATCGGAAGCCCAGAAGTGAAGGAAAAAGTATTCCGTACAACACCAAAAATCACAACCGCGTAGTTGGGGCCTTCAACCGAAATCCGAACGCCTCCGTTAGGGATGTGGCTAAGAAGCTGCACCTAAGCCGAAGTTTTGTCCAGAAGGCCAAAACTAAGGCTGGGCTTCGAACGTTCAAGGTACAAAAGGCCCCTAATCGCGACGAGAAGCAGAACAAGTCCGCCAAAACCCGTGCCAGGAAGTTGTACCTCAACATGCTGACGGAAGTTGAATGCTGCATCATGGACGACGAAACATATGTGAAGGCCGACTTCAAACAGATCCCCGGCAACCTGTTTTTCACGGCCAAGGATAAGTTCAGCGTTCCGGAGCATGTCCGCACTCAGAAGATGTCCAAAGAAATTCCTGGTTTGGCAAGCCATCTGCACGTGCGAGAAGCGGAGTGCACCTTTCGTGACCCAGGACACGATGAACGGACAGGTGTACATAAAAGAGTGCCTCCAGAAGCGGCTGCTTCCTCTCCTGAAGGCCCACAACGTCCCAACAATCTTCTGGCCGGATTTGGCCTCATGCCACTACTCCAAGGACGTGCTGAAGTGGTATGCGGACAATAAGGTCAATTTCGTGCCGAAAATATTCAACCCTCCCAACACTTTTACCAGTAGTATCGGGAAGAAGAACCCCTCACCGCTCCTCATTAACTAATGAGTTTGGTAAAGGGAATGCTCGATCCGATTTGTAGCTTCCTCAGAATTGACCTTTTCTCGCTTTCAACTTTCTATACAAACAATTTTCACACTGCCGTACTTAACGGAACTATCAATTCTATTCGTTCATCTTCTTTAACTAAATAATATGATGTTCACAAAAAAAAAGTAGGACGTTGTGTACGAAATACGACCGCTTCATTGATTTTGAGTTATGTCCCCTCACCAAAATGAATTAGGTAGTTATTCGCTGTTCTCTAGTTTGAAGCGGTTAAAACTATGATTCTGATACATGGACATTATCGACGTTATTGCTTGATTTTGTTGCAAAGGAAATCGTTTTTGACTGACAAAGAGGCGCGCCTTTGTGAAGGGTGTCTACGATGAAATTGCCACACTATGAAATTGCTCTAACTTTTTAACCGTTGGGTAGAATTTAATGAAAATTTGGGTGGATTTAGTTCATAGTGCATTATTTACATCCTGCAAGTTTTTAAGTCCTGTGATCAAAACTCGCGGAAATGGAGTCGAAAGAACAGCTCGTGCGTGATAAAATCTTGCGCATTCATCACGAGAACAAGGATCTCTCGCATCGTTCCATCGCTAAAACGTTGGGAATCGCGAATGCCACGGTGTCGCGAGTGATTAAGCGGTTCGAGGAACGGTTGACCACCGATCGGAAGCCCAGAAGTGAAGGAAAAAGTATTCCGTACAACACCAAAAATCACAACCGCGTAGTTGGGGCCTTCAACCGAAATCCGAACGGCTAAGAAGCTGCACCTAAGCCGAAGTTTTGTCCAGAAGGCCAAAACTAAGGCTGGGCTTCGAACGTTCAAGGTACAAAAGGCCCCTAATCGCGACGAGAAGCAGAACAAGTCCGCCAAAACCCGTGCCAGGAAGTTGTACCTCAACATGCTGACGGAAGTTGAATGCTGCATCATGGACGACGAAACATATGTGAAGGCCGACTTCAAACAGATCCCCGGCAACCTGTATTTCACGGCCAAGGATAAGTTCAGCGTTCCGGAGCATGTCCGCACTCAGAAGATGTCCAAATTTGCGAAGAAATTCCTGGTTTGGCAAGCCATCTGCACGTGCGGGAAGCGGAGTGCACCTTTCGTAACCCAGGACACGATGAACGGACAGGTGTACATAAGAGTGCCTCCAGAAGCGGCTGCTTCCTCTCCTGAAGGCCCACAACGTCCCAACAATCTTCTGGCCGGATTTGGCCTCATGCCACTACTCCAAGGACGTGCTGAAGTGGTATGCGGACAATATGGTCAATTTCGTGCCGAAAATGTTCAACCCTCCCAACACTCCGGAGCTCCGCCCCATCGAGAAGTACTGGGCGATTATGAAGCAGCACCTTCTTAAACGACCTAAGGTAGTGAAGACAGTCGAGGAACTGAAGAAAGTATGGGTTTACATGCAAAAAACGGTTGATTCACAGGTTGTGCAGAATCTTATGGCCGGGGTTAAGGCCAAGGTGCGGGCATTTGCGTATGGACTGTAAATAAAATACGAGTAAAATGGTAAAATGAAGTTTAATAGTTATTTCTCAATCCCTGAAAATTTGATGGCAATCGGATAAAAACTCGAATTTTGCGAATCAATTTTGTGTGTGGCAATTTCATCGTGGACACCCTTTAGGGTGTTCCAACACTCCAAAGGGTATAAAGAACGGGACCTTACAATTAGAGTCGGATCCTTGCGATAAAGGCAAGAATGACAACTGTATCAAAACCGAATACTTCATCATTTCTCAATAGTGATGGAGTAATAAAACATGCACTAATCTAAGGACACGGGCTATACCACAATACTGAGCAGAAGATCATGGGTTGAACTCCGAGCTTTTTCGTAGTTCGAGTTTTAAGTGTCTCGATGTAATCAAACCATGTTTACCATGGTAAATCCAGATCTTATAGACCTTTCCTACAAACAAAAATCCTTCCCGTGACCTGGCCATTGCTTGGGCAATGTTTCCAGTCCGGCAATAGCAAAGTGAAGAGGTGCGACGCGAACACTGACGCGGTAACGGTGATAGAGAAAATGCTTCACCAGACCCGAGCGTTTGTTCACCATGGAGGTGCGGCTCGAAACGGCGTCTGTTCTCCATGTTAGGAGCGGCTGATCACCATCCTAGTCCCTCAACTCTAAACAGTGCTGTGCACGATGGTCCCCCGGCGAGAAAGGGGGTTGGGGCAGGCCCAAC